ATGCTCACTTCTTATTTCATGTGAGGAGATAGAACTCTTATTGTTTTTGTGGAAGGAAGGCAGTGTAAAATGTACTATCCTTATGTATACAAATGCAGTGTTCTCTGAATATTGGTTAGCAAGAATCATCCCTTAGGTGCAATTCAACCAGATGGTTTCTTAGCTCTGCCCTCAGTAACAATGGAAAATAGCAATAAGATGCCTGCTCAGTTCAAAGATTTTTCAGTCCTTACTAAATGTTAGCAAATATTGAACATATATGTTTTCTGATATTGTGTATCTTGTATTATATGCAGAATGTTTCACCTTCCTTCATCATTTCTCAAAATAAAATTCAACAGTGTTCCTACTATGCACAAAGTATTAACTCACATTGAAGATATGAACATTTGCATTTATTTGGAGCACAATATGCTTTATCAGCTGCTAAGAATGTTTTAATAGGTTCAGAGTAACAAGGTACCATTAAAACAGGCATCTAGTTAATAAAAATGAACCACTGCACATGAGACTGCTGACTGACTGGCTCACTCAACTCCTGCATGAATTGCGCGCGCCTCTCCCAGCTGCATATGCCGCGGCCTGCCTGCGCCGTGTCTCCCGTCGCCTGACTGACCAACATCCCCCACTTCTTCTAACACCACGTCTTCAAAATAGACTCGCCCCGGCCGAAAACCAACTTCTGCGCATGGGCCATGAAGTTTCAATCGCACTGTACGTGAGCGCCCGCACGTGGTATTTTGTGGAAGAGCCACACTCAAGGGGCCAAAGAGCTGCATGTGGCTCATGATGGAGACATATGTAATACTTTAAATAAAAAAAAATGAGGATAGCTTAACGGACCTTTGGAACAACTGAAGCATAAAAACTACCACATCATAGGGTTACTAGAAGGAGAAAGGGAAGAGCACGGATTTGAGACACTCATATGTGGGATATAATGATCAACATGAACTGATGAACAAAACTATATCCAGAGACAAGGGGTAGGCTTGAAAACTGATAGTAGGCATGAAAAAGAACATTTAAGCCATATAAAAGATCCAGTCAGAAATAAAGAGTAAAACCTTTGAAATGAAGAATACACTAGTGAAAATAAATAATTTGATTAAGGAGAGAATCAAATTAGTGATTTGGAAGACAAGGTCACAGAAGACAAAAGCAGCAAAAAGAAAAAAAGAACTTTTAAAAATGAGGACTGTTTAGGGGACTTTTGGGACAACATGAAACATTAACAACATCCACATTATAGGAGTACAAGGAGAAAAGAAAGGTTAAGGGACTACACCATATTAAAAGAAATAATGACCGAACACTTCCCTAACCTGGTGAAGGAAAAAAGACACACAAGTCCAGGAAGCACAGAGTCCGAAACGAGATTAACCCAAAGAGGCCCACATCAAGACATATCATAATTAAAATAGCAAATGCTAAAGACAAAGAGAGAATCTTAAAAGCAGCAAAAGAAAAACAGTTGCCTAAAAGGGAGCTCCCATTAGAGTGTCATCTAATTACTCAACAGAAACATTTCAAGCCAGAAGGGATTGGCATGAAATATTTAAAGTAATGAAAGTCAGGGACCTACAATCAACACTACTTTACTCAGCAAGGCTATCACTTAAAATTAAAGGAGAAGTAAAGTGTATTTCAGATAAGACAAACTTAAAAGAGTTCATTACCACTTAACCAGTATTACAAGAAGTGTTAAGGATTTTCTTTAAAAAAAAAGAAGAAAAAAAACCACACTGAGGAACAGAGTGATAAAGAATAAAATGTCGCCGAGGCCGGTTTGGCTCAGTGGATAGAGCGTCGGCCTGTGGACTGAAAGGTCCCAGGTTCGATTCCGGTCAAGGGTACGTGCCGGGGTTGCGGGCACATCCCCGGTGGGGGATGTGCAGGAGGCAGCTGATCGATGTTTCTCTCTCATCAATGTTTCTGGCTCTCTATCTCTCTCTCCCTTCCTCTCTGTAAAAAATCAATAAAATATATTTTAAAAAAAAAAGAATAAAATGTCATCCTGGCAAGTGAGCATCGTCCTGAGCACCAAAGGGGGTGGGTTTGCTTCCTGGCCAGTGCACATACCCAGGTTATGGACTCAATCCCCGTCAGGGTACGTATGGAAGGCAATCGATCAATGTTTCTCTCATATTGATGTTTCTCTTGCTCTCTCTTTCCCCATTTCTCTCTGGAATCAATGAAAAAACCATATTCTTGAGTGAGGATTTTAAAAAGGAGAAAAACAATAAAGTGACAATAAATACATAACTTTAATAATAACTTTAAATGTAAGTGGCTTAAATGCTCCAATCAAAAGAAAGGGTACTGAATGAATAAGAAAACAAGACTTATATAGATGCTGTCTAAAAGAGACCGATCTCAGAATGAAAGACATACACAGGCTAAAAGTAAAGGGATGACAAAATATATTTCTTGAAAATGGAAATTTTAAAACAGCTGGGGTAACAATACATATATCAGACAAAATAGACTTTAGAAGAAAGGCTACAATAAAAGACAAAGAAGATCACTACACAATGATAATGGGATCAGTCAAATAAGAGGATATAACCCTTGTACTAGTAACATGTACGAATCCAGCATAGGGGCATCTAAACTACCAGGCAAATCTTGATGGACATAAAGGGAGAGATCAGTAGTAATACTGTAATAACTGGGGATTTTAATACCCCATTGACATTAATGGATTGATCTTCCAGACATAAAAATCAGCAAGAAAACAGCAACCTTAAATGACAGACTTGATCAGATGGATTTAATTGATATCTTCAGAGCATTTCACACCAAAGAGGCAGAGCATACATTTTTTTTTCAAGGTCACATGGAATATTTTTTAGAATAGATCACGTTAGGATACAAAACAAGCCACTGTAAATTTAAGAAGATTAAAATCATAGCAAGCACTTTCTCTCACCTTAATTGTTTGTATTTTTTTAATCTAGTCACATTTTATTTTATTTTAAATAATTCCTTATGTTGAAAGTATTACATATGTCTTCTTTCCTCCCCTCCTTGAGGCCCCCTCCAGCCCATCTCTGCACCCTGCCCCAGGCCCTCACTTGCCCTATTGATAGTGTCCATGGGCCATAATATATGCATACAAGGTCCTCGCTTGATTACCTGTCACCTACCCACCCTTCCCGCCTTCCTTCCAAGAATCTGCACTCTATTCCATGCTTTCATTGTCTCTGGATCCACTCCGTTCATTAGTTTATTTTTTTACTTAGATTCTGTATATGAGTGAGATCATGTGATACTTGTCTTTTTCTGGCTGACTTATTTCACTTAGCATGATACTCTCTAGGTCCCTCCATGCTGTCTCAAAGGGTAAGAGATCCTTCTTTTTTACTGCTGCATAGCATTCTATGGTATTAATGTACCACAGCTTTTTTATCCAAGCATCTACTGATGAGCACTTGGGCTGTTTCCAGATCTTAGTTATTGCAAATTATGCTGATATGAATATAGAGGTGCATACCTTCTTTCTGAGTGGTATTTTGGGTTTCTTAGAATACATACCTAGAAGTGGGATCAATGGATCAAATGGTAGTTCTATATTTAATTTTTGAGGAAACTCTGTACTGTTTTCCATAATGGCTGCACCAGTCTACATTCCCACCAGCAGTGTAGTAGGGTTTCCCTATCTCCACATCCTCACCAGCATTGTCATTTGTTGATGATAGCCATTCTGACAGGTGTGAGGTGATACCTCATTGTTGTTTTAATTTTCATCTAACTGATGATCAGAGACTTTGAGCATTTTTTTCATGTCTCTAGGTCATCTGTATGCCGCCTTTGGAGAAGTGTCTATATAGGTCCTTTACCCATTTTTTAATTGGATTGTTTGTCTTCTTTTTGTTAAGTTGTATGAGTTCTTTACATATTTTGGATATTAAACCTTTATCAGATGTATCATTGCCAAATATGTTCTCCCATACAGTGGGTTCCCTTTTTGTTTTGTTGATGGTTTCTTTTGTTGTGCAGAGCTTTTTACTTTGATGTGGTCCCATTTGTTTATTTTCTCCTTAGTTTTCTTTGCCCTAGCAGATGAATCCATAAACATACTGCTACAAGAGATGCCTGAGATTTTGCTGTTTGTGGTTTCTTTTAGGATTTTTATGGTTTCATGACTTACATTTAAGCCTTTTATCCATTTTTTTAGTTTATTCTTGTGTATGGTATAAGTTGGTGGCCTAGTTTCATTTTTTTTTTTTGCATGTATCTGTCTGAACTTAATTGTTTAAAAGTAGAAATCAATCACAAGAAAAAAAAATTGAAAAACACACAAAGATGTGGAGGCTAAATAAAATGCTATTAAACAATGAGTGGGTTCACAATGAGATCAAGAAACTAATCAAAAGTTATCTTGAAACAAATGAAGATGAGAACACAATAACCCAGAATGTATAGGATACAGCAAAAGCAAGCCTTAGAGGAAAATTGATAACAACACAGACCTACCTCAAGAAACAAGAAAAATCTCAAAAACAATCTAACTATTGGCTTAAAAATATCAGTAAAAGAACAAACAGAGCCTAAAGTAAGTAGAAGAAAGCAAATAAAGATCACAGCAGAAATAAACAAAATAGTGTCTAAAAAACAATTACAGAGATCAATGAAACCAAGAGTTGTTTCTTTGAAAAGCTAAATAAGATCGAAAAACTTTTAACCAGACTCACTAAGGAAAAAAGAAAGAGGAACCAAATAAATAAAGTCAGAAATGAAAGAAAAGAAGTAATAACTGACACCATAGAAATACAAAGTATTATAAGAAAATATTACAAACACCTCTATGCCTATAAATTGGATAATCTGGATGAGATGGGAAAATTTCTAGAAACATACCATCTTCCAAAACTGAATCAAGAAGAAACAGAAAATTTGAACAGACTGATTATAACTAATAAAATTAAAACACTAATAATAATAAAAAAAACTACCAACAAACAAAAGACCTGGGCCAGATGGCTTCACAGGTGAATTTTATCAAACATTCAAAGAAAAACTAACATTTATTCTTCTCAAAAGATTTCAAAATAGTTAAGGGGAGGAAAGACTCTGAAGTTCATAATTTCAAAACCAGATAGAAAGAAAATTATAGGCCAATAACCCTGATAAACAGAGATGCTAAAATTCTCAACAAAATATTAGCAAACTGGATCCAGCAATACATTAAAATGATCATAGATCCTAGTCAGGTACCTCAGTTGGTTAGAGCATTGTCCCGATATGTTTAGGTTGTAGGTTTGATCCCTGGTCAGAGCACACACAAGAAGCAACCAATGAATGCAAAATAAGTGGAATAACAAATTGATCTCTCTCTCTCTCAAAATCAATTACAATTTTTAATTAAAAAATAAAAATAGCCCTAGACAGCTTGGCTCAGTGGATAGAGTCGGCCTGTGGACTGAAGGGTCCTGGGTTCGATTCCAGTCAAGGGCATGTACCTTGGTTGCAGGCACATCCCCAGTAGGGAGTGTGCAGGAGGCAGCTGATCAATGTTTCTCTCTCACCGATGTTTCTAACTCTCTATCTCTCTCCCTTCCTCTCTATAAAAAATTAATACGATATATTTTAAAAATAAAGAAATAAATAAAAATAAATGAAAAGATCAGACACCACAATCAAGTGGGATTTATTTTGAAGATCCAAGGTTGGTACAATATTCATAAATCAATAAAAATGATACAGCACATAAACAAAGTGAAGGATAAAAATCACATACACCAATGGATGCAGAAAAAGCATTTGATAAGATCCACCTCCCATTTATGATATAAACTCTCAGCAAAGTGAGTATAGAGGAAATTCACCTCAACATAAGAAAGGCCATATGTGACAAACCCACAACCAACATCATACTCAATGGGCAAAAGTAAAAGTGTTTCTCTTAAGATCAGAAACAAGACAGGGATGTCCACTTTTGCTACCCTTATTCAACACAGTAATGGAAGACATAGCAATAGCAATCAGACAAGAAGAAGAAATAAAAGGCATCTAAATTGGAAAAGAACAACTAAAATGCAGTTGCAATTATTTGCAGACGATAGGCTATTGTATGTAGAAAACCCTAAAGATTCCACCAAAAAACTACTAGAACTGATAAATGTATTCAGTAAAGTAGCAGGATACAAAATATATACCCAGAAATCAGTTGCAGTTTTATACACCAACAATTAACTATCAGAAAGGGGAACTAAGAAAACAATCTTATATAGAATTGCATCAAAAATATAAATAAAATACCGAGGAATAAATTTAATCAAAGATGTAAAAGACCTGTACTCAGGATATTATAAGACACTGAAGAAAGAAATTGAAGAAGATACAAATAAGTCAAAGCATATATTGTGTTCATGCATAGAAAAAATCAGCATTACTAAAATGTCCATAATGCAAAACAACCTATAGATTCAACACAATTCCTATTAAAATATCAATGGCATATCTCAACGAACTAGAACAAATATTCAAAAAATGTATATAGAATCACAAAAGATCCCATACAGCCATAGCAATCGTGAGAAAGAAGAATGAAGTTGGAGGAATCACGCAACCCGATATCAAAGTATATTACAAGGCCATAGTAATCAAAGCAGCATGGTACTAGAATAAAAACAGCCATATATATCAGTGGAACATAATAGAGAGCCAGAAATAAACCCACACCTATATGGTCAATTAATATTTGACAAATGAGGCAAGAACATACAATGTGCCCTGACTGGTTTGGCTCAGTGGATAGAGTGTTGGCCTATGGACTGAAGGGTCCCGGGTTTGATTCCGGTCAAGGGCATGTACCTTGGTTGTGGGCACATCCCCAGTTAGGGAGTGTGCAGAAAGCAGCTGATCTATGTTTCTCTCTCATCAATGTTTCTAACTCTCTATCCCTCTCCCTTCCTCTCTGTAAAAAAATCAATAAAATATATTAAGAAGAAAAAAAGAACATACAATGGAGTAAAGATAGTCTGTTCAATAAATGGTGTTGGGTGAACTGGACAGATTTGTGCAAAAAATCAAAATGAAACTAGACCACCTCACAACACCATACACAACAATAAACTCAAAATGGGTTAAAGA